GAGGCAGGTGAATCTCAGGCATCTCTGCAGGACACAGCCTGCTTGCCCTCCATCTGGGCCCCAGGGTGGGTGAAAGAGCTATGACAGCTTTGAGGCCCATCAAGTCACATGTCCAAGAAGGGTTTCATGTGGACAAGGTTGGACAATTATTCCTATTTCATTAAGTGCCACTTAATTATTAAAAAAATTAACGAGCCTTTACAACTATGTGAGACACATCTGATTACATAGACACTTGAAGTCAATAAATGTCTTTAGAGAGCCAATTACTGCTTAATTAAGGAGTGCTGTTGATGAGGCGACCCGCTCCTTATGATCAGATGCCCAGAGATGGTCAGCATGGTGGCAGGAGTGTGGTTGGCTGCACTGGGTATAGTGACCTTCCTTCCTGGGCCCCTCTGGGAATCCACATCCTGAGGGGACTCCCCACTCTGGCTCCGCTTCCACACTGAGGGTCACTTGACCCAGATGTCCAGATATCCTTCTCAGATTTGGCCAGAACAACAATTTTCCATCTTTGCGCTCTTTCTCACAGTCATTTTTACTGGTCTCTTCTTCCCTGATTTGCTCTGGCCCCCACCCAGCATGTGTGCAGCTATGTCACCAGTGTCCTGTGGGACAGCCACAGTCTGGCCTATGCTGTGGTTATCTGTGTTCATTTCTCCCAGGAGAACATGGCCCTCTGGAACTGAGATGCCTGGGACCAGGCAGTGTCTCTAGCAGCTCTGGACCCACTCTGGACCCTGGTCTTTCTAACTCACAGTGGGGAGTGGCACCTGCAGAGGTTCAGGCAGTAGAGGAAGCAGAGGCACTGCCTGGCACCTGGAAATGTCACCTACACAGACATGACATGAGGTCAGGACCCCTGGTACCCTGGTCTGTGAGGGACAGGATACACACTGGAGGGCACAGTGCTGCTGGGTCTCAGTGGCTCTCTCCCCTGGGTTCTGTCAGGCCGTGGAGCTGTCTCAGGCATCTTTGTAACTTATTTGTGAAAGTTGCTGGTGTGCAGACAGGATAAGGGTGGAAGGTGAAGGGAGGTATGAGGAGCAGCATCTGGAGATGGAGGTGAACCAGTGGAATAATTGAAACCTGTCCCCCAGTTCTGGAATGTCTGGATCCTGGTCTCCTCTGTATCAAAGCAGTTTACAGAGGTGATATTTATACACAAGGAAATGTACCATCACAAGTGCCAAGGTGATGGATTTTAACAAGTAAATTCACAGCCAATTGCCTACACTGGATGCATGAGGCCTCGGGGCCAATGTCACCTTCTACTCCAATGTTCTACAATCTCAGCCTTGACATCCCCTGGTCCCAAGCCTGGACTTCTCTGGTTCTCAGTTCCTGGTCAACGAAATGATAAGAAGTAATAACAATAGTGCTTATTAAGTGCCTGGCATCATTGCCTATGCACACACCAACTTTAACCCTGTCAATGGCCAACTGGAGAAACTGAGGCAGAGAGACTTATTAACTGGCCCGAGGTCACACAGCTGGCAAATGGAGGGCTTGGATTTAATCCCTGCAATCATTTCTAGCCTGTGCTCTGCAAATGATGGGTGGCTCAGCACATTCCCAGAGTCCTGTCAGCTGTGTGATCCCTGAAGTTATACTTATGAGAGCGGACTAAGCCACATTCATTCATTCATTCATTCATTCTCCAAGATATGAGCATGATCAAGACCTCAGGTGCCGTGTTTTGGGCAATAGTGCTACTGGATGGCATTTTTTGGAATGGAAACAATGGAAATGAGACCAAGCAAATATACATTTGCACAGGTGGTGCTCTATTGGAGAGGGATCTCAGCTGAAGGGAAGCAGCACTGATCCTGATCAAGAGAGGGATCAGCTGCTTTAGAGCAAAGGGAACAGCAAGTTTCTACTGATTCCCTGGCCTAGGGTGGGTTAAAGTCCAGCAAGTCTCCACTGGGCAGGGCCCAATTCCAGAAGATGTAATTTCTTGTGCAAGACTCAGAGCAGTGGATGATCACAGTGAACTTGTCCTGGGAATTGGATGAGTTATTCTTTTTTGCGGGGGTACCAGGGATCAAACTCAGGCCCTTGCACTTGCGAGGCAGGTGTCAGAACCACTGAGCCAAATCCCCAGCCCTGGCTGAGTTATTCTTGCAGTTGGAGCCATTGTTCTGGGCAAACATACTGGCTTTGTGGTTCAATCAGGATCTTGTGATAGGGCTGCTAGGAAAGTGCAAGAGTGGGATAGGAAAGGAGAGAAGAGAGGAAGACAAAGAAAACACAGATCAGCTCCAATGGACAGACACATGTGTTCACACAGAGCAGAGAAGACCCTGACCTAAAGGTTAAGGCAGCAAAGACACAACAGGACACAACAGGAAGACACAGATGCATGCTTCTTTATACTGTTTCAGACACCTTTCAGACATGTGAGGATCAAGGGAAGAGCCAGTATTCTCCAAAGTGGCCTTCAGATCCTCCAAAATAACCTAGGCAACTGTTATCATAGTCTACTCATCAGAGATGTCATCTACAGCAAAGCTAGTGGGGTGCTAACAACATACTACCTAGCTGTGTGACTTCCAAAGTTAGTGCTCTTTCAAGTCAACTAAGAGCAAATAAGTCTAGAGGGTTCACTTAGGTTTTTTCTTGGTGACAATTCCCTCAACTTATATAAACAGTTCTGCTTTTATGGTTTTATCAGGGTCTCATGAGGGGTCTGTTGGAAAAGCCCAAAGGCAGGGAAGCTATACACCATGCTTCCAAGGAGAACAGTTTATTGCACTCAGGAGTTGGTTTGTTGTCCCAGCCTTCTGTGTTGCCATGGTGGTCCCTGACCATTCCAAGTAGCACAGTCATCCCATTGAACAGGGACTTGGCCCTGACACATAGCAGTAGCTGAGTCCCTGGTGGTTTGCTTCAGGATCACTGTTGGTACTGACCCCTTCCTTCCACTTTCAGGCTGCCTCTGCATGCATCGGTGACTACCCAGTGACGTGTCTCAGATCTCTACTGTGGACCCCCACCCTGCTGTGCTCACGAAAGGGGAGCTAGGGCCATTCTTTTCCAGCTGCAACTGGACAAGGGGCTATTGTGAAGCATCCTGCAGGTCACCCAGACTCCACAGATACCATCACCATACACAGCATCCCCACCTCTACCTGCTGACAGGGCTATCCTCCACCAAGATGGGGATCCCTCTCTTGTCTGATGACCCCCTCATCAAGGAGTCCCAAGTTCCCAAGCAGTAGTGGGGTTTATAACTCTTTGGGATACATTTTGTGCCTGTTGGTCTGGCCCCTCTGGGGACCAGGACCTCTTACTCTATACAGCCCAGAATTGCAGGGACAAAAAGGGCAAATCCTGTAGGATCCTGTGGGGAGCAGTGGAAAGTAGTGGCCTCACTCTCACCTGGATCCTAGGTGTCATCCTACTCAATGCCTGTATGCATAGGAGTCTAATTCAGGGCACATGCTGTACCCGGGGCAGCACCCTACTCCATGCTGCCTCCCACCCTGAGGACAAGTCCTCCCCCAGGCAGCCGCCTTGATCCATTGGCTGGTGATTCTGTGTGGCGTGCATGTGATGTGGCTGAAGGAACATATGGCCATGGCCACCCTACCTCCTTTGCTGTCAAGTGGTTTCCTGGTCTGATCTGATGGAAGAAGGGGCATCTGAACTAGGGTTGAGGGGCAAACCTCAGGACCTTTAGGCTGTGCTGCAGCATAGTGGGGTGTGGGAAAGACAAACCCACTTCTAGAACCTCTGCCTGGGAGAATGAACCACTAGCCCTCCTGGGAATGGAGCGGCCCAAGGTGGCTGCTTGACTGCAGCTGGTTTTCTTGAGAAGGGTCACACTGCTGGCTCCACTCTGCCCTGTACTGCTGGCAGGAAGAGAATACACTTCTGGGCCCCCACCTTTCCTCTTGTTCACTTAATTCACTTGCCCAACAAGTTAGCTGGATGGTCAGTGACAGAGCTGGTCAGCAATGCCTGCCCTCCCCATTAAGCCCATTTGGTTGTTTAGAGCACCTCCATGGTGGACATACCCTGCTGGACATGGAAATATGACGCAAACATTATCAGATTCATGCCCACCTCCATTCTGCCACCCTGTGCCTCTACCCAGGCCTCCTGGTCCTCAGCTCTCCAGGTCTTTACCCTTCCAGGCTCCTGACAAGCCAACTAGGATGCTTCCCTGCCCAAATATCTGTGTGCCTTGAGTCTCAGGCCATTTTGTTTTCCTCCCAAAGTGGAGGGACAGTTGTACTGCTCAATGCTTTTCCTACTGGGTGACCTTACCTTGCCACCATCTTTCAAAGTCATCCCAGGAGGGCTGTGGTGCGGCTTGTATCCACACACCAAGCTACCCACCCAGTTTCCTTCTTCTTCAGTTGAGCCAATGGAAGTCTTTAGGTGGCCACAGGTGTGAGCAAATGGGATGCAGGTGCAACAGTGGTAGGACCATGAGGCCTGGGGCTTCCCGCTATGTACCTGGCTGTGGCCTCTGCCTTCTGGGCTCAGCCTAAGCAGATCCATTTCTGCTGAGGATGGTTTGTTATTAGGCTGTAACCTTCTGGCTTTGTGGGCCTGCATCTTCCATGGATCCAAACATGCTACTAGAAATCCTTGCCACAATTCCCACCTCCAAATATACACAGGATGTCTGTTCACCCTGAGGCTCATGCGTCCAGCTGTGAATTCCATGGGAGCCCTCTCCTGCTCTGCACCCCCTGATGGGCTCACACGACCCTTGGCCATGAACCCATGTGCTTTAATCTCTGGTTTAATTTCGTTATGATCCGAGAACATTTATGATGTCTCTTCATTTTAATCTGTCAAGGTGTGTTTTACGGCTCAGGCACTGTCCATCTTGGTGAGTGTTCTGTGCCCTGAGAAGAACATGCACCCTGCAGAGTTGATGGAGTGTTCTATCATTGTCAATTAGGTCTGGTCTGTTGATGGCATCGTTTCGACTCATACGTTCTCACTGATTTTCTGTCTACTTGTCCTATCAATTATAGGCAGAGAAGTGTTGACATCTCCAGCAGAATTGTGGATCTCCCCCCTCAGTTCCTTCTGCTTCAGCTGCCCATGTTTAAGGTTTGCTGCAAGGCATGTACACCTGTGCCTGGACCGCTCTTCCAACAGGTAACATCCTTCTGTCTCTGGTTCCTTGCTGGCAACTCTACTTTGATGCTAATTAGCTCCTTCAGCTTCCTTTTAATGAGTGCTGGCCTGGTGTCTGCCTCCACTCTTCTCCTGAGGTAAATCTTTATATTTTATAGGCAGAACATAATTGGTTCTTGCTTTTTAAGATCCAACCTGACTGACACTCTTTGTATTTTAACTCTGGGTTTAGACTTTGCAGCTAAAGTGACTACAGGATGGATTAAAATCTGCCATCTTATTAGCTGTTTCCTCTTTGTTTCACTTGTACTTTATTTTTCCCCTTGCTTTAGACTTTTCTTAGTTTGAGTATTTTTAAAATTTCATTTTATCCTCTTAATTGATTTATTTTCCAATCTTAGTTTCTCCTTTCTCTTCTCCACCTTTACCCCTGCCCATATATTAGAGAGATTAGAGACTGAATCCAGAGCTTTCATACTGAACTACATCTGGAGGCTGTTTTTATTTTCTTATTTTTTAATTTTGAGTCAAGATCTCATTAAGACTCTAGGTTGCCCAGGAGGGGCTCAAATTTGTGATTCTCCTGCCTCAGCCTCACAAGGTACTGGAATCACAGGCATGTCTAATTGTGCTTGGCTTATTACTATTCCTTTAAAAATTACTAGTGCATATCCTAAGATTTACCATATATATCCTAAAGTGATCTGAGCCTACCTTGCAAACATCACAGGACTTCATAGGCAGCATAAAGACAGTGTATTTCCAGTATTCTTTTCCACTTTTTATGCTGCTATTTTACTTTTAAAATGCATAAAAGCATAAATAAGGTTCAAATTGTATAATTGATAGTGTGAAATAGGAAGAAAAGGGCTAAAGGAGAAGGGGAAGTGGGAAGGGTAGGGGAAAGGTAATAAGAGAAAGAAAAAATATGAGAAAAGGAAAAAATTCAAACAAAGTCTTTGCAAATAGGGAAGGGTGGAGGGGGTGAAAGGAGAGCAGGGGTATGGGGAATAAAATAAGACCCAAGATGGATTATGTAAAGGTACAAGATCCCAGTGATGAATGTAACTGTACTGAATACCTTAAAAGTACCAATACACTCGAGAAAAAATATGCAAACACATTAAACATTTTTAGTATTTTTCTTATGTACTTATCTTTTAGAGAAAGGGGTCAGCAAACTTTGGCCAGCAGTCTGTTTTTGCAAATCAAACTTTATTCCCATGCCTGTTTGTGTTGGTGTGGTGAGGCTGAGTGTGGAGTGGATGACAACTTTGTGATCTGGCCCGAAAGACCTAACACCTTCACTGTCTGCCTCTTGAAGGAAAAGCTTGTTGACCTCTATTTTACATCAATTAAAACCAAGGAAAAATGAATTTTCTTTTACTTTCATAGGGAGGGTAGGGGAATGGGGAAAAATAAGAACCCAGATATATCATGTACAGGTACAAATTCCCAATGATGAATGTCATCATATTGTATATCTAAAATGTACCAAAAAACTTAATAAAAAATACTCAATATAAAAAATTTCATTTCTAATGCCTTTTGTTTCTTCTGTTATCTACACCTTCTGAAATACCCTATACTCTTTCTGCCCAAAGAATTTCTCACATTTCATGGAGATAGATCTGTTAGCAATGGATTTCCTTGGGTTTTATTTGCAAGAAAGTTTAACCTATTTTTTTAACTCCATTAATTTTATTATAAAAAATTTCAAATCTGTTTAAAAATAGGGAGTGTAAATAGTGAACCTCCATATAAATCATTCCTCACTGTTAACAACGCTCACTTTTGGGTTCATCTATACTACCTACTCCAACCCACAAGTCAAATAATGTGTTCCATAAAATTTTAATACGTCTAAAAAATAATGACTGCTTAAAACTTCTAGAAAACTAGCAATATACACATGAAAAATTAACAATATTTCTTTAATATTATCAAATATCCAGTCAGAGTTCAGCTTTCTCCAGTTGTTACATAAAGGCTGATTCTGTCTTTGACATTTATGCTGAAGATTTGAGGCTTGGAACTTCTCTTTCTTCTTTTCATTGCTTCTAAGATGCCACTCCACTGTCTCCTTACACACACAGCTTCTGGAAAGAAATCTACTGTAATTCTTATCTCTGTTTCTCTGTATAGAATGTGTTTTTCCCCTCTGGCAAGTTTCAAGTTTTGTTTGTTTGTTTTTGGCACAGTGGTACCTCATTTCATGAACTTAATTTGTTCCATGATTCTGGAAAAGGTAGCCATGTTTGTGTTCATGCAGGAAAGATGGCCATGGTCATGTTGGTCACCTGATGCAGAGTTCACAAGCAAGCAAAATTTTGCCAAACACTTCTGTTTGCAAACCAAATTGTTTACAAACAAAAGCATTCATGAACTGAGGTGCTGCTACATTAAGATATTTTTGGTATTCAGAAATTTTAGTATGTTGATGATGGTTGTGGTGAACAGGTGGATAGTTTATCTGGCTTCTGAGCTTCTTAAATCTGTGGTTGTGTTTTCTTTCATTAATGAAAAATAATTCTTGGTCATCCTTGTTTAAAATATTTCTTTGTCCCCTTTCTCTTTACTTCCTCTTATGGAATTCCAATTATGCACACGTTAGTCCCTTTTACATTGTCCCATAGCTCATGGATGCTGTGTCCTGTTTCTTCCTTTCCATGCCCCCTTTTCTCCGTTTTCCAGTTTGAGAAATTTCTATAGATATATCTTCATGTCCACTGGTCTTTTCTTGACTATGTCAAGTTTACCAGTGAGTCCTCAAAGGCATTCATGTGTGTAGCAACGTTTTCTATTTCTAGCATTTCGTCTGTGTGCTGAAATTACCATCTGATTTTGCAGGTTGTATATACTTTTTCCAGTAGAACTTTTAGCATATGAGTCATAGTTATCTTAAATACCTGAGTGAGCTTGTGTCTGTCTCTGACTATTTCTGTGTCCTTTAAGAGTGGATTATGTGTCATTCTTTTTGTTGGAAACTGGACGTATTGTTTAGGGCAGTGGGTACAAAGATGAATGTTTCCTATGCTTGGAGATGAGCACAACCTTAGGCTTTCGGTGTGATGGACTATGTCAGTCTTGTCAGAAACTGGACTGGCCATGAGATTTCTGGTGACTGCTGGCTTCGTGTGCCACAGGCTTCCAGTTCCTACGTGAGTGATAACCCCTGCTTCATTGCACAGCTGATTCTCCAGGACTGTCCTCTCAGTGTCTCACCCCACTCCTCCTGTCCTTGACTCCAGCCTTGGGCCACCCTTTCACAATGCTCTTTGAGAGGACCTGCTTTGTTCATGGGTCCCAGATTTATCCCTCTCTCACTTACTGAATGCCATTTGCCTGGTGGCAGAGGTAGGGGAGAACCTCTTGGGTGCTCTTATTAGCCCTCTCTATGGCAGGCCCTGCATCTGGGGCTTGGGGTGAGGTCCTCTTGCTCTTCCACTGGCTCAGTTCGGGCCTCAGTGTGTGGCATGTGCTCCTGTACAATACAGGACTGGGGATTTTGATTCTTCTCCCAACTGCAGTGTGCTGTTTTTTTGGCTATTTCTCCTATGCATTAAGTTTTTTTCCACGTAGGGAGTCAAGAGAGATGAATTTGAGTATGTTTTCAGTGATGGCTGCTGTTGCCCTGACCTACAAGATCATGGGGAGGATTTTCAGAAAAATCTCAAGGTACTTGATGGAGTTTGTAGGAGAAAATTCTGTAAGAAGGAGCAAACCTCCTTACTCCTGCAGTCCCCAGGCTCACTCTGTCATGGCAACCCACACTTTGTCTTTCACAGTTTACTAGGAAATTTAGCTCAGTGTCTTCACCTGCCCAGGAAACATTCTTGGCCCTTGCTTCTCCTGCAGTCACCTGCCTTTCCCCAAATCTCAGGGTATGTGGTGTCCCATGATATCTGCTCTCTGGTAGGTTCAATCCAGGTCTCTGATGTGCAGTTCCCAGCTTTCTTCTTTATGAAGAATGGTAATGATGTGCTTGCTCACTCTTGGCATCTCTGAACTGAAATCATAAGTCCTACGTGTGAGTCAATGAGGAAACAATCCAGAGGAGAGGGGAAGACAAAGTGAAAGCTATTCTTTTGAGTGACAGATGGGTCCCTGGAAACACAAGGCCCTGGAATAGGAGTTGAAGGGTCTTTTCAGGGACTGAGTTTGGGGTGCCAGATTAAGAAAGATGTCCACTCTGTTGTGTCCCTTTGTGCTTTGCTATTAAAAATAAATTGCACACATGTGCTGGCATACACACACACACACGCACGCATCTGACAGAGCAGGCAGAGGCACAGGGGGATAAGGGAGGCCAAGATGTGGTCACTAGATGAAGATGGGCTTTCAGAAAAGGATAATGGGGGATCTAGAGGAGGCTCAGGCCACTGTGTCTGCTCACCTGGCAGTTTCAAAGTCACACTTTCTAAAATGCAAGGTGGAGTTCAGGAAAAAACCTGTAGCTCTGATCTTCCAGCAGCATTAACAGGTGGTTCTCAGCTCAGCAGCTGGATAGTGAGTGCCACAGCAGGGTTGGCTGTGTTGATACCCCATGTGGGTCCCTGTGATGCCAGTGATGTCACTGTAACAAGCTGATAGGTTGGAAGACTCCTGAAGCAAAGATGAATGCAACTGCTACTTATAGAACTTTTCAGGACCTTGCTTGGCACTCCACAGAGATGCTCATGCGAGGCTTGTCAGACCTGTCTGGTCTGACACCTTTTGGAAATGCACTATGAGGAAAGTGATGAGGAGTGGAGATAACATCTTTCTGTGTCTCCCAGGTTAAGGCACCCTGGGTTGCAGTCTCCTCATCTCTCAGGTGGGTTTAAGATGTTTCCTATGGTGGCTGTGGTAGAAAGCAGAATAGTAGTAGATGGAGCAAAGCCAAACCTGCACAGTCCCTGTCACTGCTCCAGGACCTGGCTGCCTCTGGCCATGGGGGTAGAGTGGCAGCTTTGCTTTACCTGGTGGAATCCTTGACAAAGCTCCACAGAGACTGACACTCTGCTGCTGCACTGGGACAT